ATATATATATATATATATATATATATATATATAATTGCTAGCTAATCATTAAATAAAACCTCATAACTAAAACCTATTTAATTTTACCTAATAAATTATACCTAATAAATACTACAACCTTCCATATACAATTAACGTTACTTTTACAATTATGGATTATTATTGTATATTTATGATTATACATTGTAACGTTTCATTCTTTTAAATGGTATTTTCATCTTTATATTTTCTTTTATGACATCTAATAAAAAATAATTAAAATGTAAAATAATCTATATATATAATTAGGAATTATCACATCAATAAAAATTTACATATTCCACTCTTTTTTTATACATAGTCGCTTGGTTTTTTACTTAATATGTGAGCATACTAATGTTGAAATTAATTGTTACGATTTTATCAGTTCATTTAATGATTCTAACTGTTATTCTATATATTTTTTAAATAGCATGATTACAAATTATTCTACCAAAACATGTGGGTATAATACAAAAATAGAAAATTAAAATAAAACAATCGTTCTTATAAAAGACCATTTATTGTTGCATAAGAACGTATTTAATTTTTTAAAAAATGCATTCGTTTAAATAAAATTCATAGCCTCAAATAGTAGTAGTAATGATAATAATAGTAGTAATAATAATAATAATAATAATAATAATAATAATAATAATAATAATAATAATAATTAATGTATTTTATATAAATATCATTCCCGTTATGATTGTATTTATATTCCTATATATATAACTATTCACAAAAAATTTATTGCAAAAATAAAATCAGCACATTTTATCCACGAAATAATACAAAAAGCATACAAATATATTAAACCTTTAAACAAACAATTCACATCTAGATCAATAGCTTCCCCGTTGATAAATTAAAAGCATGACTACGACAGCTAAACAAAATAGGAATCGATCTGAGTGTTTGTGTCAGATGAGAGAAAAAAAAATAAAGGTGAAGAAGAAACGGCGAAAATGTTGCACGTGGTAGGGTTTCATGCATCAAATATCTGCCTCTACCACCTTCTTAAATGTTCTATATATGTGTGGTGGATGAAACTTTAGGCGTGCTATATGGGTCCGAACATCCTTCATCAGTGCATCAAACTTCGCCTTAAAGACACGACAAATTATATCTAGACGGTCCTCAGGGTTAAGGTTCATTTCAAAAAGGAATCGATTGATTTCAGGCTACTTGGGGTTGCAAGTGATAGTTATGAAGATATCAGCATAACCGGTACAACGACAAATGGTAATCGCATCCAACGACAAAGGGTGCACTTCAATTGGCAGCCAATAAAATTCTTATCCATCATTTATATTTTCTTTGATTAGTGTACAATTCGATTGATATGTTTTTGTTCTCCGAATTTTGAGATCAACATATACTCGATTAGTTATTACAAAGCTCAACAGCCATGTATTCGAATGCAAAATATGAACCTGTGCCAGAGTTGGTGATAATGTTTTTATTCGTAGGCTCAAAATCATACTATTCGATTTGATGGTACCTTTCAAGTTTCAGCGCAGGCAGTTTCTGCTCATGGTTTCCTGTAATATGACAATCAATAAGAGTCAAAGACAATTCTCTCGCACATCAGCTTACTACTGAAGAGCCCTGTATTTAGCCATGAACAATTGTACGTGGCGATTTCTAGAGTTACGAGCAGAAGGGGCTTGAAGATAATAATTTGTGATGATGGAGATTCCGACGATTAAAAAATCATGAATGTTGCTCACAAAGAAGTGTTTAATAATATTTAATTTAAAAAAAAATCATTTTTTTCGATGTTTATGTTATGATTTTTACTATTGTTTATAAATTTTTATTATTTTATTCTTTATCATATAGCTTTATGTGCAAATGCACTTATTTGCACAGTTTGCAACTAGTATAAATCCTGTGGTTCCTTCAACATTTCACCGGACGCCGTTGCTCGTTCATATTCCGGTTTTCCGGATTCACCGCTCCTCCATCAATTTTGTCCGACGATCTATTGCCGTTTGGACCACCGACTTATTCCTCACTTACTCTCTCTCTCTCTCTCTATCAGGTACAATATTTTCTTTTGTTGTCTGGAAATTTGGGTTTACGCCGGATTGCGGTACTAATCTACCTACGAGCTTCGATTGTTTATATTATAGGTGAAATCACAATTCTGGTACAATTTTTACCCCTGAAATTGTAGTAGAAGATCACGCTGTCTCCTAGTTGAGCTGATCTCTTACTAACATTGGTTTCAGTATATTGTTTGTGGATGGAAGGTGAAAAACCAGAGTTTGAGGGATCTGAGATTGAGTATGTGAGCTATAGCGGGGAGCATCACCTGCCGATGATTATGAATCTAGTGGACGAGGAGCTCAGCGAACCCTATTCCATCTTCACCTACAGATACTTCGTCAATCTCTGGCCCCATCTCACTTTTCTCGTTAGTTACTTCCCTTTCCCTCTCCTCCATTGATTCGTGTTCATGCTTGCAATGAGATTTTCATGTTTATTTGCTGGTTGGCAGGCATTCCATAAGGGGAAATGTGTGGGGACGGTGGTGTGCAAGATGGGAGACCATCGCCATACTTACAGAGGATACATCGCCATGCTCGTTGTTCTCAGCCCTTACAGAGGCAGAGGCATTGGTTAGTCTCTCTGCCAATTGCTGTGTATTTCATTCTTCTACTTTTAGCTCACTTCATCAACAATTTTGCCATTTTTTAAAATCACTGTTGCCTCACGTTTACCTATTTACTTAACATCCATGCTTTCCCCACCATAAGCTGCTAGATTTTATCTGCTCTTGTGAATCCCTTTTTCATTTTGCAGCAACTGAATTAGTGACCAGGTCGATCAAAGTGATGATGGAATCAGGCTGTGAGGAGGTATTATTTACCCTTTTCTTTCTTCTTCTTAGAAAGCTTATGAGGTTATAATATGCTTATATACATGTATATACTTTGTTATATTCACATCCATAATACAAACTTGAAAACACTCAGCAATTACAAAGTTGATGACAATATTGTAAGGAGGTTCGCCTTTCACACTTTATTTGGACATCCGTCATTCAATAAAGGTTTCGCACCTAGCTTCAGTTCCTATGCTATCACTCACTCAAATTCATAGCACGATATCTTGTATTTGCGTGCTCTTTTTGCTACAATGGGTATAAAAAAACAGTGCCTCTTATGTTTTCCTGGGACTCTATGGCCACTCTGACAGCTATTTTGGCATTTCTATTCAAATTTCTAGATCAGTTTACAATACCTAAGGCTAAGGTATATGTCTGTAAATGATTTTTTTCTCTTCTACTTGGCTTCTATCAATAAGCTTTTGTCAGTTGTAGTAATGGAAACCCAGAAATATAAGTTAGCTGCCACATTGTTTGTGTGATTTTGGGACTGCAACTCTCGGGCAGCATATATATCTTAAGGCTAATAGATCAAAATATGCATTATTTGCATTGTAAAGGTGACATTGGAAGCAGAAGTTACAAATAAAGGAGCACTCGCGCTTTATGGCCGTATGGGGTTTATTAGAGCCAAGAGGCTTTTCCGATACTACTTAAACGGAGTTGATGCTTTCAGACTGAAACTATTGTTTCCACGTCAAGAACCCAGTTATTCTGAATCTGGGGTTTTAACCATGGATGAGGGGGCCCATGGTGGCAGGATGCAACCTGAAGAAAGTACTGCTCCGTAGTACAACTAATATATCAGGTAGATGAATGAAGATCATATTAAAGTTGTTTGTTGACTTGAATATATACAATAACGTTTATATTTAGGGAATTCATCTGATGAAAACCTAAAATCAGGAGATGCTGATATCTTGCTAATGCTTGTCCATTTTTCCACTTTTGTTGCATTTGAAGCCTTTTATGGGCGATCTAGCAGGAAATTTTACTTTTCATGAACACAATAAAAAATAATTGTCACCACCATATATATTTTGGCGGTTATGTGCTTGAATGTTAGAATTGCGATTGTAGATGAATGTTTGATGATACAAGTGGGTTGACCGTGGAGGATCATTTTGATGGGGGCTCACATATAGACCATGGATAAGATCAACAACGCCTCTCTCGCTCTCTATCTCCAGCATTATTCAGACGTTATTGACTCTTCATTGTATCTAGTGTTATTGACTCATCATTGTATCTATTATTCCCAATTTTTAATGAAACATCATTGACTATTATTTACAATCAACTTTGCTAAGAAACCAGATGGTTATTTACAATCAACTTTGCTAAGAAACCAGATGGTTGGTTCTTTTATGGAACCAACCACCAATGAGACAGTGCCATGTATTATTCACAGCCGCACTGTGTCATTGGTGGTTGGTTCCATAAGGGAGCCAACCATCTGGTTTCATAGAAGAACTGTATTTACAATATATTGGCATCCTTCACTATTTATGCCATCCATAGTGTGACTAAAAAATCTGGTAGTATGTATGTACATTAGCATACATAGATGATATCATTTCAATGGAAGAATATAAAATGAATTCGAGATGTTTACATTAAATTATGTGAAGTACAAAGTTATTATCGAGCTTTGTAAGCACAAACCATGGTGTAAGGCCATCTCCAACCGAATAACTCATTCTTAAACCCTCTGTCACATCAAACAGTATTTCATCTCTCCAACCAAAAAACTCATTCTTAAATCCGAAAGAATATTATCAGAATATTTCTTTTACAACAATTTTACAACTTTTCAATACTATTCACATATACAGTTTTGCTATGGAGCCATCGGATGACACAACTTACGAAACAATCCATATTTATTCACAAATAGTGTATTGACACGTGTCTTACAAGAAATATATTTTTCGACAGGTGTCAATACATTAAGTGATTGATGACTCTATAATAAAACCATCTAATAACTCCATATAATTTCTCTGCCAACAATTTAAATAATTGTATACCAAAAATTTGCTAGATCTAATATGTGGAAAAGTTACATTTTAAACGAAACTAGATTTAGAATAGATGCCTGCGCCCTTTTGTTTGATGTAAACCAAAAGTATATAAGAGTTAAGTGTTTTTATTATTTATTTAAGATAATGTACACATCTTTTTTATTTAATACTCTTTTTTGTTTTATTCGGTATTTCGTAACTAAAAAGGTATTCATATGAAATTCTTGGAAAATTGAGATAGATTAATTTTCTTTTAATTTTGTATTTTTTTTTAAATATATTGTATTAATGTTAATGAATTAGTGTATAAAAAATGATCAATAATGATTTGCTTGTAGTATTTTTATTATGTACTTGTAGTATTTTTCATAGCATTTTTATTATGTATTTGTAACATTTTCCATTATTAATATTAAGATGAAGCTTGCTTGCAGCAAAGTGGGGTGGGGACTAAAAATGATCAATAATAAATTGGAGTGCTGTGGTTGCTTAAAAATAGTTGAATAAGAAAGAGTGTGTGTGTGTGTGTTCTTCTTCAACAAAAAGCTAGCAATCAATTGAGTTTGGCTTTGCACTAAAGTCAAGGAACATCCATATCAGAAATCCATAGCCTCTGTTTTCCTCATTGCTGCCTCACTTTCCTTTCATCTCTCAGCTTCACTCCATGGAGCTCAATAGGCCCCCCTTGATAACCATATACTTAATATTCGCCATAATATGCTTGGCGATGCAAGCCCTCGCCATTTTCATACCATACAACACCTCCTCGGCCATCTCGCCCGCCAAAATCAACGTTCATTTGGTGCCTCACTCACACGACGACGTTGGGTGGCTCAAGACCGTCGATCAGTACTACGCCGGCGCCAACAATTCCATTCGGGTACTTTTGTTTCTTTCTGTCTTATTATATTATTTTTCTGTATGTACTCTTTCAGTATTGCATTTATTTACCTATGGATTAACTAGCTAACCTGACGATTTCTTTCCTCTATCAGGGTGCCTGCGTCCAGAACGTGTTAGATTCTGTAATCTCCGCTTTATTGGACGACAAGAATCGAAAGTTCATCTATGTTGAGATGGCGAGTTTTAATTTATTCTTTTTTTTTTTTTTTTAAATTAACAAAATTGTTATAGGTACTTGCTACTTCATGTGTAACATCTTGTTATTTGATGTGATTACTTGCTGTTGTTGTATTATCACTTCCTCATTAATGCTTATTGTATCAGGCATTCTTCCAGAGATGGTGGAGACAGCAGAGTGACACCCTGAAGGCTAAAGTCAAACAGCTGGTCGACTCTGGTCAACTTGAGTTCATGTATTCTCTAAACAATTTCCCCCTTTGTTACAGATTATGGAACTTATGTATGTCATCAGGAATGCTCTTAGTATTGGTTTCCATTTGTGATTCAGAAATGGGGGAATGTGTATGCATGATGAGGCAACTCCACATTACATTGATTTGATTGATCAGACAACTTTGGGACACAGTTTTATCCTTGATGAGTTTGGCAAGAAACCAAGAGTTGGGTGGCAGATTGATCCTTTTGGGCATTCTGCTGTTCAGGCTTATTTGCTAGGTGCAGAGGTATCTCTTTATGGGAATTCCATTTGACGAGTAATATAGTTATGCCTTGTCTAAAGTAACATAATTTTTCAGTATGATTCAACAGAAGGCGTGAGTTCTATTTATGAGAATGTGATGAATGCAACAATACATTTGCATCATTACATTTTCTATAGGCATTCTACCAAAACAAAAACAAAGAAAGAAAAAAAGAAATAAGTACTTGATCCAATTTTGCTACCTGTTCATAATGCAGTTGGGGTTTGACTCTCTCTTTTTTGCTCGAATTGATTACCAAGATAGAGCTAAGCGTAGAAATGATAAAACTCTTGAGGTTATATGGAGGGGCTCAAGGTCCCTTAGTGCATCTTCTCAGGTTAGTTATCATGACTTATATGTCCAATCTCTGTCTGCACTATTTTAGTTGTACTGTGGAAGCAGTTTACAAATTTTCATATTAGAAATCTGACACCTCTTCTAAAACACCAAAATATTGAAGTCTGACCACTTTGGCATGAAATCCTGTCCAGATATTCACGGGGATATTCCCCATTCATTACGAGCCTCCAGATGGGTTTTCTTTTGAAATAAATGATGTATCTCCTCCCATTCAGGTTATATCATGTATAACCCAACCATTCAAATCTAGATTGTCTCTTGTGGAATAAACATTAATGCAAGGGTTGAATTTAGGACGATGATCTCCTCTTCGATTATAATGTGCAACAGCGAGTGGATGATTTTGTGGCAGCTGCTGTAGCACAGGTACTGTATCTGATTGCCTTCAGCATCTTGCCATCTCATGGAACTTGAAGTAGTATGCTTTCAGTGGGTGGTTGAATTTATTAAATGCCAAAGTTATGGCTAAATATAGAATGTAGAAACAAATTGGATTAGGTGACGGATGATATATGTGACCACAAATTGGATTAAATGATGGATGAATGCCACATATTTCCTTTCTTATAAGGTTCATGAGTTCTGTAGCTCATCTTTAAGTTTCTGCTGTGTCTTTGACTTCAGGCAAATCTAACCCGGACAAATCATTTAATGTGGACTATGGGAACGGATTTCCGTTACCAATATGCAGTTTCATGGTTCAGACAAATGGACAAGTTTATTCATTACGTCAATCTGGTACATTTCTTCACTTATGTGTATCTAATATGTACATATAGATTTGAAAACTATATATTCATGGTCCATTTCTTACTTTTAGGATGGCCGTGTCAATGCTTTATATTCGACACCATCCATCTACACGGATGCGAAACATGCAGCGCATGAGAAATGGCCTCTGAAAACTGGCGACTTTTTCCCGTGGGTCCAATTTTAATGTGCGGGCTTTCAATTGATTTAGCTCTCTGAAGTAACAATTTGGTGCCATTTCCCAGGTATGCAGATCGGGAGAACGCATACTGGACGGGCTACTTTACCAGTAGGCCAACGTTCAAAGGATATGTGAGGAAGCTGAGTGGCTACTATTTAGTATGTTCCTGAGTCCCTTTAACTCATGATATTAGAATGTGAATGGAATACATGTACCACTATAGTACTCTCCATAGTCATTTGAGTTTTAATTTCAGGCTGCAAGACAATTGGAGTTCTTAAAAGGCAGGTCTGATTCTGGACCAAATACAGATGCATTAGCTGATGCCCTGGCTATAGCTCAACATCATGATGCTGTTAGTGGGACAGAAAGGCAACATGTTGCTGCTGATTATGCTTTGCGACTTTCAATAGGATATAATGAGGTACCTCTGTTAGGGTTGGAAAACCCTGTGACGATAACTCCGAACTTTTTGTTCTATCTGTTTACCTTTTGCCAAATTTCGCAAGTGGGGTCACCCATGTGTTGTCACTAGCATAATGCATATGCTTGGTTCTATAAATGCTAAACTCTGGCATCTTCATGATGGATATATTTTTTTTCTTTTGAACACAAACAGCTTTGAGTCCTCTGACAGGTTAGTTGAAATTTTCAGGCCGAGAAAGTTGTTGCATCATCATTGGCTACGTTAACAAGCACCGCATCAAAATCTAATTACACTGACCCATTCCCTGAATTTCAGCAGGTACATGCTTTCCCCACTTCATACCGAGTTATTTGATATTTCAGGTTTCTTTTCATTTCATGCACCATTGCAGCATCTGGAAGATACTATTAAGTATCATATGATTCAATAATCACATAAAATCTAACATTACAATAAATCTGACTGGTTACAAGCAAAATTTGAGTAATATGTATGTACATCTATATTAAAAGAGTTGGTTTCTTTCTAATCTAATATTAAAATTTGAGTAATATGCATGTATCTTTTTCCATCCATTTTTGCATATTCATAAGATTTTTTTTTTTTTTTTTTTTTTCACTTGGTACCTACTTTAACTAATTATAAGTTTTTATTTATTTTAAATTTCTGAAAGACAATATACAGTAGAGGAACATATGTTTTATTTTGATATTTTTGTTATGACCATTTTTTTCAGTGTCCTTTACTCAACATAAGCTATTGTCCTCCATCAGAAGCTAATTTTACTGATGAGAAAAGCTTGGTAAGAAAAATTGTTACAATTACTATGATACCATCTTATTATTATGTTCACACCATAAGAAATAAATTCTATACTTTTGTTTTATAGTACTTTATATTGCTTTTGTTTGAATCTTATCTCAACGTTTTAGGTGATTGTAGCATACAATCCTTTAGGATGGAAAAGAGAAGAGGTCGTTCGCATTCCTGTGAGTACCTCGTCTGCTTCTTTATTAAGTTTTTAGAATGAGAATTCATGACATTCTGTGAATGGCATCGGTCGAGTTGAAGAAATTGAGATGATATCATCAGAAGTCTGTTTGATCATGATACTATGAATTTCTGAAGTCACTGAATCTTACTTACTCAGTCTTGTCTTATATATATTCAAATTGGTCCAGATATTCTATCAATACCTTTGGCGTGGATATTAAACATTTGCTTGTCAATTTTTGTTAAAAGATAATACAGGGCCGCTAACTATAAAGGTATGCGTAGCACAGGAAGTCACCAACCCCAAGATTATAAGAAATTTTGAACTGGAGCACCTCATATCTTGTGACTGGGCTTTGTTACATGTTTACATACAAAAGAAAATAGGTGCTTTTTCTGGGTGGTTCTGGAGTTAGAACTAGTAATCAGCCGGTCTTTGCAGGTTTCCTCTGAAAATCTGGTGGTTCTGGATTCTTCAGGAAGGAAGACTGAGTCACAGCTTCTTCCTCTTTCCAACATCTCTTTCCCTACCATAGACTATCACATCAAGGCATATTTAGGTGTATCCGCCACTAGCTCTGCAAGATATTGGCTTGCATTTTCAGCATCTGTTCCACCCCTTGGTTTCAGCACTTACTTTGTCTCAACTGCAAAACTGGAAGGTAAGGATTGTCCACTTCATTTAGTTTAAAAGAGTATCTGATTACAATGATGGCATATTTACTTATTTAGTGATCTTTTGTTCTTTTATTTTATTGTCTATCTGGTCAGAGAACAGGTCCTTCATTTCCAGTGTTTATACACCAGAAGAAGATACCAGTAAAACGTTTGAAGTTGGTCAAGGAAACCTAAAGCTAATTTATTCAGCAAATAAAGGAAAGCTCTCACGTTACATAAACAGCAGAAACTCAGTGAGTTGTCCTCAAAGAGTTTTAAAGTTGACTTTTGAAAGTTATCTTCACAAAAGAACAACAAAAGGATATTATTTATGCGAGGATACATGTCCACTATAAAAACATATGCATTGCGTCGGTCATAACTCATAAATATTTTTTAAGCTTATCTTGTAGATAAGCTGCAAAATATAAAACACAAAACTTATTCCAACTTGGAATTAAACGTAAAATGGTAAAAGAGGGGGTCTCATGGCTCCTTTACTGCGTATAATGCTGATGCATTCATTGTTGCTTCACTGGTGAAGGTCACTGCAGAAGCCAAGCAATCATATAGTTACTACACTGGTTATAATGGTACCGATAGAGTTTTCCAGGTATTCTTACATCCGTGGAAAAACTTTTAGCTCACTCTTATAGTTGATTTACAGGATTGATAATTATGAAAAAATTCTTTTCTGAAGGCATCTGGAGCTTATGTTTTCCGCCCAAATGGTACATTCCCAGTAAAACCTGAAGGCCAGGTAAGCCTGTTTCTTAATTTTTCTTATTTCATACTTTGATGTGGGTACTAACTAGTAAGCTCATGGTCCAAGCAATTATCTTATTCAATAGACTAGGATTTAGGTTGGTAAGTAGAAGGATTCTCTTGTTTCCAGGTTCCTTTCTCTGTCATGAGAGGGCCATTATTGGATGAAGTGCACCAGCAGCTCAACACATGGTTATATCAGGTACCCAACCATTCTTCTTGTAACTTCTTACTTTTGTACTTTTGATGCCTTCAATGTTTGGCAGCTAATATTGTATATGTGTAGGTCACCAGGGTTTACAAGGCAAAGGAATACGCCGAAGTCGAGTTTACTGTAAGTGTTTTGCCTATATTGTTACCTGTTGAATGCGTCGAACAATTTTGATATTACCCTTCTGGAATTTGGATTTTTCTCATTTATTCTTATTTTAGATTGGACCTATACCTGTGGATGATGGATTTGGAAAGGAAATAATAACTCAAATAAGTACAGGCTTGAATACGAATAAGACTTTTTACACAGACTCTAATGGGCGTGACTTCATCAGAAGGGTATACTCTTAGCTTTGGTTTTGAGCTTTGTGATCAAGACAAATTAAAAGTATACTTGTTTTATATATAAAGTACCTCTCACTTATCTCATATCTTTGAAATTGATTCCCTGCAGATTCGAGATTATAGAGATGATTGGAACCTGGAGGTATACCAACCAATTGCGGGCAATTATTACCCTGTACGTCATTTGAAGCTTGCGCAGTAATTTAGCATCTAATTTCTATATCAACTGTTTTTTTATCTGCTTTATGATATTTTCATTTTGTCGGATGCTTGTGCATTCACCTTGAGTCTCCTAATTCAGAGTGATGAAATTAATTATATAATCTCGATGTTGTGTAGATTAATCTTGGAATTTATTTGGAGGGTGAAACCGTGGAGGTTTCTGTGTTGGTTGACCGGGCAGTTGGTGGGGCGAGCTTGTTGGATGGTGAAATAGAGCTTATGCTTCATAGGTAGGTTAACTGTTGTATTCTTCATGCATGCTTTCCAATTTGAAGTTGGTCCACTTGTTCGCTGTTTGCATTAACAATCTTGACAGAATCTTAAATTTGTTATTTATTTTGTCTAGGCGGCTGATCAATGATGATTCTAGAGGTGTTGGTGAGGCATTAAATGAAGAAGTGTGTGTTCGTGACAGTTGCAAGGGCTTGACGGTAAAATCTAGCACTAAGGCAATATTTATCTGTAATTGTGTTTAGTATTTATGCACCCGTCTATTTCAAGGGTAGTATGCTATTTGTTTTGTCAAACCTCCCCTGCATTTTGCTCTTTCGTGTTTCTGACTGTCGAGCTTACGAGAAAAAGGTTTCGAAATGAATGATTGGATTATGAACAAAAAGCAAATGCATTGCTCAAATCAGTTTTAAGATATTTTTTTTCAGGCTCAAGGGAAGTATTATCTCAAAATTGATCCGCGAGGGGAAGGGGCAAAGTGGCGTCGGGAATTTGGACAAGAGATTTACTCTCCGCTTCTTCTTGCATTTTCTGAAGAGGTGAGAAAATAGTATCTACAAAATATATGTGAAAGTTGTACTCTGAGAAATAGCTGACGAATTATTTTTTTTTTTTTTTCATGCAGGACAGAAATAGTTGGATGAGTTCCCACAAAACTACATTTTCAGCTATTGATCAATCCTATAGTTTACCAAAAAACATTGCAGTAATTACCCTTCAGGTGGTGTTCACAACCGAGTTTCTGAGCCATTTTTCTGTGTGTATATACCAGCCGGTGTAATGTAACCCGGCCATTTTCCTATATGCTGCAGGAACTTCAAAGTGGCAGGATTCTTCTTCGCCTGGCTCACCTATATGAGGTCTTGCATTTCTAGTAGAAGATTGACTTGCTTGTTTGTTGTTTTGTAATTTCATTCTCAATCTCCACTTGATTACTAATAATCATATATCAAACAATCTGAACATGTCTGATTTATTATTGATGTGCATAGAGTGGAGAGGATAAAGACTACTCAGTGGTGAGTAGTGTAGAACTGAAGAAGCTCTTCCCTGACAAGAAGGTACTTCATGTTCCACATTAATATATCAAATCAAATTCAAAGTTAAAAACTCATGCTCATTTATCAATTGTCCATCCATATTAAGATGAGATAAAGCATTCTGTAGTAGGAGTTTAATGATATGTTTGATTGTGGAGTTTAATGATATGTTTGATTGTGTCCGAAAAATGGTATGCGCCAGATCATCAAGGTGAGGGAGATGAGTCTGTCGGCCAACCAAGAAAGGGCGGAGATGGAGAAGAAGAGGTTAGAATGGAAGGTGGAGGAAGCGGACGAAGAACCCAAACGAGCAGTTCGAGGAGGAGCTGTTGATCCAGCCAAGCTTCTAGTTGAACTTGCTCCTATGGAGATTAGGACATTCATTATCGACTTAGACTACCTTAAAGTTTTTGATTCTTGAATTGTCCAATCGTGACGTACATGTATGCAACAAGTAGCATGTTATAATTTTTTAATTAAGCATTCCAACTATCTCCCTTTTCGCCGAGAAACCGGCCAAACGCAAGCTGTGTTGTGTTGTCTTTATTATTCCCTTTTCATTTCATCTTTGGTTGGCAGAGTGATATAGGAAGCGTATGGGTGTGACCATATTAATAAGATCTCGCAATCTCATGATCATCTAAGCACGAAACAATTCAACTTTTCATTCAATAATCCCCTGAAATAATATGGAGTCTTTTAAAGAAGGTTCCAGGAACTCTACTACTTAATTTGTCCACCAAACCGAGATAAATAAAAACAATTAATAATAATAATATACTACTATTAGTCTGGCGCTACAGAGTATTACTAATATCAAAAGAAAAAAAAGGTAGAACATGATTATTATTTACTTTGCCCCATGAGTAAGAGAAAAGGGAAAATAATATATTTGTAATTATATTAAAGTTAATATAATTATTATTTTTTTATACGTAATGTTAATTTATTTTATACATAAAAAAAATCTATTTTATTATTATATAAAAATAAAATTACTAGTCATTCTAACAACCATACTTTGCGACCACCTTCCATCTTAGACCACTGTCTAACAAAAAATCGTGACGCTTTATCAGTCGAGACAATATTTGGTTTAGGCATGACATTTTGCAGTCGCTTGACCATCTTAGACGATGTTTAGTTAGCCGAGCGGCTGAAAGAGTTACCTAGACAAAAATCGTGACGTTTAAGTGTCAACAAAAATATTTGAGTGTCGTTATGACATTGGTACTAGTGGTATGGTATGACAAACTTGCAGTTAAGATTTTGTAAAAGTATTTATTTATAAAAATTATAAGAATTATTTATGGTAAATAAGATAATAAAAAAATAAAAACCTGACTGATGGGAATTGAAAATAAATTATTTTTGATCGATTACTGAAAAATAAAATGGAATAATGCAGAAAAAATAAAAAGGACGAAAGGCTTTATAGATGGAGGGGAAGAGCTAGGAGAAGAGCTAGCTGCAAATTTTGAAACAAATGAGGCACATACTGTGAACCAAATTCCGGCGATCGATCCAAATATGAGAGGTCCGAGAAAACCGTCCATTCGGAGACCTCCTCTCCTCCATCTCCTCTGTGCCGCCGCCGTCGTCTTCTCTCTATTCTTCTTCGTCTCTCACTTCTCTTCCTCACCCGGTACCCACCTTGCCTTACCCTCTTCTCCGTCGTCCTCTAGGTTTGTTGTCTCTCTGTGTCTATCTAATATGCACAAGTGCTTCTAATATCTCCAGGCAACCAGCGAATCTCAAGTGTTAACAAAGTGGATGTTCGGATACTGTCTGATTTCCAGTCTGACGTTCAGCAATGCGTGGTCAGGTTTTTCTTTTTTTCTTTTTTTTTTTTGCGCGTGTGTGCGGTGTAAGATTGATTTCTCGCTCGCGTATGTTGCTTGTAGGCAAACAGAGGGCTTGGACTCACTGCCCAGATAATGGATCACTGCAATTTGATTCTCAAGTTTCCTGAAGGAACTAATAGCACTTGGGTTCGTCTCTTATTCTCTTGTGATATCATGCTTTTGAACTGATCTAAAAGTCGAATTACCTTTTATAACTTGCTTTATGTATTTGTTTGCAGTACAATGAGCAGTTTAAAATATTTGAGCCGTTGGAGTATAAGTATGATGTTTGTGAAGCAATATTGTTGTGGGAGCAGGTTTGCTATCCGATTTCACCCTTTGGAGTAGTTTTCTTCATTGTACAGTAAATAAGCGACCTAAATTATCTGAAATGCAGTATCGTAATATGACTACAGTGTTGACAAGAGAGTATTTGGATGCACGGCCTGATGGTTGGCTAGACTATGCTCCAAAGAGGATAGCACAATTGTATGTTACTGGCCTTCCTTTTGCTGAAAATATCTGCAGCGCTCTCATTTTTTTCTCCAAACTTAGTTTTGCAGAAATCGTAACTTGTGAATGTCCTTGTGCTTGCTTTCTTTATTACTGTAGAGGAGCAAATAAATGTTACAATAAGACTCTTTGTGAGGAACATCTTAATGTGCTTTTACCAGCAAAGCCACCTTTCCCTCCACGCCAGTTTCAAACTTGTGCTGTCGTTGGAAATTCTGGAGATCTCTTGAAGACAGAATTTGGAAAGGAAATTGATTGTCATGATGCCATCATCAGAGACAATGAGGCTCCCGTTAATGAGGTAAACAAGAATACTATTGTTGTTTTGCTGCTCATCGCTATCTTCCCCATGGAGTGGCCTCAGGAGCGTACGATTAATAGTAGTTACTTAAATCGAAATTCGTTTAATGTGGAAAGTTAACCTGGTGATTGGGAAGGTTAACCTGGTGATTGGGTTGTTGTGGATTCCGTTTGTAATATTAGATCTGAACTGTGTCACCCGTTGTTGCATTTATAGTCATTGTAGTCTCTCACTCTAGATGTGGATGTTCATGATTTTAACTGGATGCTGTGGTCGCTCCATCTGGTACAGAAATATGCCAAATATGTTGGTCTGAAGAGAGATTTCCGCCTTGTAGTCAGGGGTGCCGCACGGAATATGATTAAGATTCTCAAAGGGTCAGGTAAACTTAGTTAACTGCTGCAAAGTTTCTGCATCTCCATGTGTACATGTTTGCTCGTTTCTCTTCCTCATTCACCCTTTCTGAATATTCTTTCGAGGAATGTTTGTTTGGAGCTCAGAGGTGCGAGATATGAGATATTTTAAGACCATGAACTCTTAGCTTGTTTGAACCTTCTGAGTAGTGCTTGTTTCATAAATATGCTAACGAGAAGCACTTAATGATTGTCTTTAAGACTTAAACTTGATAGAATCATCATTATTCCTCGTCCCAAGGCTGCATGGATCTTTTGAGTGAACTTGTAGAGCTTGAATGCTTAGATGTCCTTTCAGTTCAGATTCATGAAATTTAACCTGTGCTCATTCATATGGTTATTCTGTTGCAGATGATGAAGTGCTTATTATCAAAAGCCTCACCCATATAGATTTAAATGAAATGATTAAGGTAAGTGTCAGTTAATGGTGATCAAATGCATTAATCATATGCATGGCTCGTCATATTATTTTATTTCTCAATTTTAAAGGTGATATGTGGTTATTAAATCTGCTGTTTTATTATATATTCTGCTGGATGGCGTTTCTTAATTCCATCTGAACAATCAGAGGATCCCGAATCCCGTTTATTTATTCCAAGGCATAGTGCTTCGTAGAGGTGCCAAAGGAACGGGAATGAAATCAATAGAACTTGCTCTTTCCATGTGTGACATAGTCGACATTTATGGTTTCACTGTTGATCCTGGATATACAGATTGGTTAGTTCAATTTTCTCTTTATTATGGTGTCATACTTTGAGAATTTCTCCTTGTATCTTATTTTTGGGAACGGTTCAGGACGAGGTACTTCTCACCACCGAGGAAAGGACACAATCCACTTCAAGGAAGAGCATACTACCAACTTCTAGAGTGTCTTGGTGTTAGTATACATTTCTTTTTTCTTTTTCCACATATTTCCCTTTTCTTATCATGTGTCTCTTTTCGAAATTGCTATAGAAAAAATCTATTTGCTAATTTTAGAGGAACAAATGATCCTGTCAGGTAATTCGAATCCATTCTCCAATGAGATCTGAGAGGAAGCAGGACTGGTCAGATATACCGAGTCGAGAAAAAATAGGCAGAGCTCACTCGGCTGCTTTACATCTGAAGAAGAATCAAGCTGGTCAAGAAGGTGATTTGGGACAATTTCGTAACTGTAAAATGTGGGGACACTCTGGTCCTTATGGCAGCGGGCCTCTGTCCGGGTCACCCGATGTGAGTGACATGAGAAAGAATTCAAATTACAGCAAATGGGAGACCATGCTCTTTGAGAAATTAAGCAAAGCGACACAAGATCATTACACTCATATGGAAGGTGTGTCATTGTATAAGATGGATGGCAACAAATTGGATGATCTAGTGTGCGTGAGGCACTCTTCTTTAAAACCTCAGGTGTGATGATGGTTTTTGCTGGGTACTTCTCTATTCGTTGGAATCCCCAGTTTGCAAAAATGGGTATCCATTGACAACAATATAGCTATGTGCTATACTTCTTTGGACTTTTTCACGTGCTAACTTGTGAAAGGACATTGCTTACATCAATGCATTTGCAATGAACTAGATGTTTCTGTTTAGTCATGTATGTATTGAGAAGATTATATTCCAGATGTCTATAGATATTCAGTGTCGAATTTTTCCTCTGGCTTTGGAACGAACTAAGTGCTACACTGGTGGCTGTAAATGTCTACTATGTATTTCATGTTCTTTCGTTCCATTTCCTTTTGGTTGTAAAGTTAGCATTAGTCAAAGTTCTCCATTAACCTGAGAAGCCTTGGGTTTCCTACTAGAAGCTGCTAACTTTTTTTGTGTCACCTGTTACATCAGATGGCAAACAAACAAAGCTATAACGATTGATACTTGGCAATGTACTAATCGCACAAGGAAGTTGCATGATAAGGGTCACATAATAATGGAAGATATTTTTCTTAGTAAGAACAAGGGGGATGACTTGGCAATGACATCTCATAGAATAAAAAACGAAAGAAATAAATATCTAAGACGATGAAAACAATCCCCATTGTCCATCTCAGAAAGTGAAGGAGTTCCTTATCCAAATACCAAATATCATCACTACTCACTCAACTGAACTCTGAACTATAAATAGAATCCCAACTGAGCACCATATAGGATCATCTGAAAGCACAAAAATTAAACAAGGGCATCAAAAGGCATTAAAATGAGTCAGCTTTAACCACCACCACTACTACTCTTCCTATGGGAAGCGGCTTCTCTATCAACACACCACCAAAGGTTATAGTTATCTCAAACAGTAGCAGCAGGTTTGCTTCCTTCAATCAGAATGCCCTTGCTGTCAACTATAACTCCACAATCTCGTGAGTCCCACTCGTAAATCTCAATGTAAAATATATGTATTTCTTCATGTGAATGATGATAAAAACACTTTCCCTTTTAGAGTTTTTCCTGCAGAAGCATGTGAAACGATCGGGGGAGAGACCTGTTTGGCTGACATGTACCCAGAAGTGAAGCTTCAACCACAAGCCGAAAAGCCCAAGGGCGCTAGACCAGAGGCAATAGAGAGGGAGTACATGGATTACACAGATTCCAGGACGTAAGGATTTTTCGTTTGAGTAGTTAGCATATCTCAGTCATAGTATTTAATCAACCAATAGTCGAGAGAAGAATTAATAATCTAAACAAATGCAGGGTGCTGCAAGGTGAAGCCTGCGATGTTCTAAGAGGAGAATTTTGTCCGCAGGCGTACCAAATGGGAATTAGCTAGAACGAGCTCTTAATATAATGATATGTTCTGTGTCTATAAGTAATATGCCCGATTAAGTACAGCATAGGAAATAGTTTCCTGTTGGATGTAATACAAATGCCATTGCTTACCTCAACCAACCGTCGAGCAAATCTTTCTTACGGTACAAAAATGTCTGCCCTTTACTACATAATGGTGCATTGGACACCATCAATAACTCCAGGCCTCTACTACACTACTACAACTCAATCTATATAAAAATGCAACCATATATTCCTTAATATTATTGGATGACATGTTTTTGTATTAAAAGAATCGTGGATTTATAACCATCTCTGATGAATCAACCACAAAAAGGCCTTGGCATTATTTCTTCATATCAGACCATTCCCAGAATTATGTAATACGAGTTCTGGAAGATCGCTCTCAAAGAAAGCGGCATGAAGAGCCCTAACACATTCTTCAGATTCGCTGTCGTTGACTATAAATGAAATGTTCACTTTTGAGGCACCTTGAGATATCATTTGAACGTTTACTCCTTTAGTCCGGAGAACACGAAAAGCCTGCCCACATCACACAACAACAAATACAAGTCTCTGTACATCTCACATGAAAAAATCACAGGCATCTAGAAACTTAAAATTTTGGCTTGCTTAAGACAAATTTAACATGTTTCTCTTCACTCTGTTTCCTTGTTCGCGTTTAATATATCTCTAAGGCCTAACACAATATATATAGATATTATAAAGGATTATGTTTACTTCACCAGTGTGACAACTCAAAGGAGGATAAAAGGAAAATTAGCAATGAGCATGCACCTTCTCTAGTATCAGTGAGGATCTTTGAACATTCCCGATGAGTGAGATGATGGATCTGTTCTGTAAAAGATTTACCACTGCAATTTTTTCAAGTTCTTCGACCATATGATCCAGTTCCTGTTCAAGATGTCAGAAGTCAGGTCAAAAACATGTCGCGTCAAGAAGCTGGAGACACATGAATGAGAAAGATATTTCTACAACTTCAATAATTTCAGAAGCTTGATGCATAATAATGGAAGAACTGAAGTCTGATGTCATAGACTTGCCTGCTGGATCAGCTCTCTGCTCCAAAACTTGGAAGGGTCTAATGTCAAGGAGATGCTCACCTCACTGGTTGCTACAACATCTACAGATATGCCTAAATCCTCAAAAGTCGAGAAAACCTGAAGCGACAGAAAATCAAGTCAACATTATGAAACAGTGAGATACAATCATACAAGCTCTCTTGTCTGATCAGCTGCATGCATTCACCTTAGCAAGAAATCCATATTGGCCTAGCATTCTAGTGCTGACAATATCCAGCATTGTGACATTTCGTTTCAAGACAATGCTAGTAAGTACTGCCTGAAAGAGAGGAATGTAAAAAGGTAAGCGTCAAATTTCTGCAAAAAATATTTTTGTTATATAAAACCACAATGCCAACCTGGCTCATATCTCTTGTTCGGGAAATAAGAGTTCCTGGAGCTTTAGAGTTATAAGAGTTCTTCACTCGAACAGGAATGTCAGCCTCTCTAGCAGGTCTCATGGACTGTGGGTGGAGAACCTTTTCAACCCGAAGAAAAACATGAATTTGTAAGAACGATATTTTCAAGCGCACACACACAAAGAGATAAACGTTCCTACTTCTCAGTTTCTCAAGCAACAAACTAACATGCAGGCAGCTTTATCAGAGCTACCAACTTGTTAATCAACTGAAAAATGTTGTTTTAGAATGTCTATGTTTAATCTGCAGAGGAGCATAAAATTTATTTATTTATTTTTGCATGGTTCCAGAATGAGTATTAAAACAGGTATTATGTACCCGGAATCAACTAATTCGGTATATTCTTAAAGCCACCCGTAACTTGGAAAACTAAATTTGACGTTCTATTTTGCTTTTCGTGAGCTATGGAAATTCAAATGGTAATGTATAATGAAAATCACAGATATCACATGTACTTTCTGAACATGCAAATGATACCTGAGCGCCAAAGTACGCAAGTTCAGCTGCCTCATCAAAAGTCAGGTAGGGCACTGGCTCCGCACCAGAATATATGTTAGGATCACAAGTTAAGACACCATCTACATCTTTCCACACCTAGAAATTTATACACCAGGATATATGCTAGGATCACTAAGATACATTATACAGCACCATAGCTGTATTCATTCACATCTCAACAAGTCAATATACAAATAATGGAAGATTGACCATACAATGACAATGATTAAATGCATGTAACAGAACATGTAATAAGTGGAATGAATGAGAAGTAATTTATTCATGCATTTACATGTGTACAGAAAAAATAGAATGAAGAGTCAATATTCACTTACTTGAATTTCCCTAAACCCCAAAGCTTTACCAATTGTTGTGGCAGTCAAATCACTACCGCCCCTTCCCAATGTAGTAACAGCACAACTTTTCCAGCCCTACAATCAGAAGTACATTAGGGCACAACAAAAACAAGAGTATTCGCTCTGTAGCGGATTAAATGAGATCAAATACAAGGGACGTGGTTTTATGAGGATGAACATTGCGATCCATAAATGGGGAACCTTCCCAAGGAATCCAGTAACAATAGGAATTGCTGGATCAGTATTCCAATCTCCAACCAACTTCTTTGCGACAGCCGGATAAGTGGCTTCCAAAATGTCCGCATTTGTAAAATCATCAGTAGTGATAAAACCTATTTCAAAGGCATCATACTACAAAAACAAATCAAAATTGCATTATTGAGCGAAAGAAGCACCTTGAATGTACAAAATCTTTTAACAGAACATCGTGTTGTATCATAAACAATCAAAATTGCATTATTGAGCAAAAGAAGCACCTTGAATTTACAAAATCTTTTAACAGAACATCGTGTTGTATCATAAACATATGAAATACGTTCTATTCATCTATTTGCCGAAGTTTGTACTCATAAATATCTTTCACCTCAAATGGGTGACCCTTGCACACCAGAAAGTACGATATATTACGAAGATAAATATATTTAAAGGAAGTCAGAAGTATACTTGGCGAGCTTTGACACCAATCTTATTCAAATATGCTGCAAAAATCCTAGTGGACATGCACTCGCCAAAGGAGACAAGGTAGTCCTTTGTTCTTAAAGTCATCTCTTTCAACATAGCAATCCCATTCAGAAGCTGTTCCAACTCAGAGAGGTGTTCTGAGAACGATTTTGGGGAAGAATAAGGGAACAGTTAATAGAGAATCATACTGCTGATCTCTGGAACCTTTAAGGAATTCCCAAATCCCAATAATGATAGGATCAAATAGCTAATGAATATATGATAAGAATTCACCAAACAAGAGAATTTTTCATACAGCATGTTCAATGTACCATAGAAGAAAAACTCACTTGCAATTATCGACCTTTCCAACCCAAGCTTGTTCAGGGTACTGGTAAAGTGAGACAATTACGTCAGAAAAATAGTCACTGGAACAGTTAAAAAGTGGAATAATAAAATACAGGGTTACCTCAAATGCAAATCTTTGATGAAGGCCAGTTCTTCAAGATGAGACACATTCGGAACCCCACAAGTGACCGCCTTTTCTCCTGCCTGGTACACAAGCCAATCGGACCACCTAAAGAAAATTCTTTATCGTGTGAAAGAAGAACCAAATAAACAGTAGAGTAAAAGAACAAGTACCAGTAGGAGCTTGTTGGTTGTTTTCCCCATAGCAGAAAGAACAATGACGGGCCTCTCTTCAGGGAAGCTGAGAATAAGTTCAGCTACTTCTCGCATCCTATCTGCCGAGGCAACAGATGAGCCACCAAACTTCATAACACATGTCAGCTCACTAGCAGTTTGTTCAGACGCTTGGTCCTCAACATCATGCTTCTCAGGCACGCCAACCCTGCCATCCATACAATTAATTTGAAGGGCCAGCTGTCCACGAGACCCATTCAGCAGCGTATGAGAACCAGGAAGAGAATGAGGGGTAACAATGTGGCCAAGATTCTGCTGCCCTGGAACTGGTTGAAAGCACGAGGCTCTCCTGGAGCAACATGTTTGCGAAGGCATGGTTCCACGTAGATGCAATGTGGTTGCCATGGTCCAAAAACAGCGTGAGAATTAATGGATAGGTAAACGTCCCTAGATCCACCAGTGAAGAAGGCAATTTGAGCAGAGAGAGAGAGAGAGAGAGAGAGAGAGAGAGAGAGAGAGAGAGAGAGAGAGAGAGAGTTGATTGTTGGACTCTCCCCCACTCCACCAAAGGCACAATCAGAGTGCACGCAGACAACCTGTAAATATGGCAAAATCCAAGAAGATCCTACTCAATTGACCATGGAACATTAATACAAGTACGAGAAACCACACGAAACTAGCAGAGATAAACCATACGGTTGATCAGACTAAACAATTGATAAAAATGGGGGAAAAGAAAAATGATGAATGAATAAGAGGAACTCTGAACGAAATGCTGTAACGAAGTATTCATTCATCGGGCAGACGCACCTTGTTGTGAGAGAGAGAGAGAGAGAGAGAACGTCGAATTTGATATTTGTAACAAAGAAAATATGGAGAAAGTGGAGAAGAATTAATGAAATGTAAGAAAGAAAAGAACCTGTTGGTTTGAGGATAATGAAGGAGGAAATGCGAGAGCTCAAAAGAGGGCTGCCGGAAAGCAGCTGTATGTAAACGGCAACCGCCGCCGCACCGAAGTATGTATATTTTGTTTTCAGCTCCGTCTGTGTGTTAGGCTCGATTCATCGTATCCTTCGTTAATTAATACTACTAAAAATTACAGAATATATTGGGTGTGAATTTTTCCACGACACGGCCGCCCGTCACCATTCTTCCGGAAAATTGAGGGTCAAATATACGTTCTTAAATTTGCGTTTTTTTTTTTTTTTTTTTTGTACAGGACCTTCCGGTTTCCGGATCCACATGGGAATCGACTAATCCGAAATCGAGTCGGGTAGGACCACAAGGGCGGCAAAGCTCTCCCTCAAGAGTTTTAACACTGCTGCATTCTCAGGGCTCGAACTC